GCAGGCTGCTAGTCGCCGATCCTGCGGACGCCGGTCCCGAGTAACTGGAGCAGCTACCGTAGGCCCGAAGCCACTGAGTTCAAAAGAAATGGCCGCCAAACAGCAGCGTGACCTTTCACTTCCCACACAGCTCTTCGGGCTTCTATGATTGGACAAAAAGAGATGCCTGTTGATTGGAGGAGGTGGTTGCGCGGGGTCTCCAGGCAACCAGTGAAGCGTGGGTAAGTTGCCCGCTGCCTTTCGGTCTCTGCCGGCCACCTTCCGCGAACCAGCTCCGCGCCGAGGGTCGCTGCGAGGCTGCGAAGGCCGAACGTCCGGGTGGAGTTTCTAATTTGCTTCCTTACCTCGGGGAGAAGCTGTGTGCCCCGTAGAACGGATGCGATTTCTCCTCCACGTGGCCAGTGGCTTACTTTGCCGTTTTACTCAGGGGGGAAAGAGCTCGGGGCCCTGGACTTTTGCACAGATTCGGGGGTTCGTAGGCGCCTTTGCCGCGTGTTCTCTGTCCTGGAATGCCAGTTTATGTCCGTTTTAAAGAAAGCGGGAGGAGCAAGGCTAGAACAGGGCAAGGAGACGAGGAGACGGGGTGCGGGATTTATCTCAGCCGAGGAGGTCACGCTGGTGCCGGCCCCGGGTGGTTCCTTCCACACGCCCACGAGGTCGCGCGTGGTGCTTATGTGCAGTAGTAATTAAGGAGTGGGGGGTTTGCCCCTGTGATGTCACCGCACTCATCGGATTCTCACTTTGTTTTCCTGTCGTCTCAGTGTTACAGACATTCGGCTCAGGCAGGTCTGAAATGCTAAATGCCGTTCTTGGAGAATGCTTCCTTTGGGGAGTAATTTTTTGAGGCCCTAAGGGGGTTACCCTAGAGTTGAGCAGTAAATACTGCGTCTTGAGGCATCGCGGAGTAGTAGGTAAGACTTCGGAGGCAGCGGAAGTTCAGAACCGTTGCCCATCCTATGGGGGTAGAGGTAGTGTTGGGTAGTGTGTCTACAGTCTTGTTGCTTGTTGCTGTTGCTTGGTGTTAAAAACTGTACATCCTCAGGGGTGCTGTGACAATTAAATAATTATTGTAAAGTGGTTAAAACTGTGCTTGGCCATGGAAGGGCTCAGTTGACATTAACTATTATTTTAATGCTCTGCTGTCTGCTTGGTAAATGTCTGCTCCCTCCTGCATTTGTAATCAATCAGAATCTTACCATCATCCCCAAATGCTGTGGTTTAAGTGATCTGCAACTAGTGTAAAAATAGCACCTTATTTATTTATGTAGAGATCAGCCCCTCTGTGGACCAGTTACTTTGCTGGGTTCTTCAGGTGACAAGATTTAAGAAGCTGGTTTAGACTTTAAAGGCTGCCCCGTAGTAGAGGGATGAGAAATGTTCTCAGGACTAGCAGTTAGCGTGATGGCTATGTCGCTGGACTCCCACATAGTCTACCACCCTACGAGTCCCGGACCCGGTGGCTTAAACTCACGCCAGGCGCTTGTGCATGCGTGTCCAAGATCCTGAGAGGAGAATGGAGGAGAAGGGATTGCTGCGTGGCCATCCCCCTTGGGGGGCGATTTCTCGCTTTCTGTCTCTGTCTCTCCCTGTCTTTATGGGGAGCGCACATGCCTTATAGCAAAAACACTCTCAAAAAAAAAAAAAAAAAAGAAAAGAAAAAAGAAATGTTCTCAGGCAGTGAGTGTAAAGCAGAAATATAAGGCAAGGAGAAATGAGAAGCAAATACTAGGTTTTACATTTTTGAGCTGGCCGCCATGGCTTCAGAGAGTTGCAAAGCCAGTTGTTTGGCCATGTGCGATTTATCTGGACAGGCTTTTTGGGAGTATGCACTGGGACAGTCCATCCAAGGGAGGCACTGAGAGGGAATTTAAATGGCTAGTTCCCTCCTGTCTCTTGGCCCTGTAGGGAGTTAACGCCTCAACACCAATGGTTTAGGACCCTGGGTGGAGTTGGGAGATCCCAGGACTTCAGCTTTCTAAGAGTTTAGAAGCAGCAAGTGGAGCCTTAGGTAGGGCCACATTGAGTATTCTAGTCACTTCAGAGGCAGCTGGAGGGGAGGGGTGCAGGTAGCAGTCCAAGCACCTGGGAGACAAGTGGAACAGAAAATGTGAGTACACACATAAAATGTCTCCAGATACATGGGTTATATGAAAAGAGCAAATACGAGATAAAAGATGTTCCTGACAACACTGTTACGGTATATTTAATAGCAGGTGTTATCTGATTGCTTTATATGACTGACAACACGATGATTAATAGCACTGGTTTGGGAGCCAGATTTGAATCCGAGTTTGAATCCTGGCACCAACACCTTCTACTTGTGGGAACTTGGGTAAGTTACCCTCATTATGCTTTGTTTCCCCTGTGGGGTTAATCGTTCCTTTTCCTCAGGGTGGTAATGAACCTTAAGTGTCAACAGGAGCTCTTCTCTGCTTCCTCAACAAAATGGCCCTAAAACCATTAGGAGGAGCCAAGTAAAGTCAATAAATAAATGTTTTTGAATTTTTTTTTGGGGGGGGGAGGAGAAGTTTTTGGTATAGGGTGCGTGTGCTGGCATAGCCATTACGCCAACTGCTAGTCCCTGTTTTTGAATTTTGTAAATCAAAGATTAACTTTGTGGGGAGGGTAGATAAAGAAGCCTTTGAAATAAAAAGGCTGAGAGCCATTCAGCTGGATGGTCAGCCTTAAATACAGATTAAAGGCCAGCCTTTGCTGAAACATTGTGCTGCAGTGTGACACTGGGACCATAGGGGAAAGCCTAGTTCAACCTGAACCTGGTGGGCGTGCCCGTGATCCTGGCTGGCTAGAAGTCTGGGTTAAGGCACTGGATCCCACATAGCCGACTGTGGTTCGAGTCCCAAAACTGGCAGCTTGAAAACACACCAGGTGTGTGTACATGTGTGCCTAAAATCCTGAGAGGAGAAGAGATTGTAATATGGCTATCCCCCCTGAGGAGTAATTTCTCACTTTCCCTCTCTGTCTCTCTCCAGTAAGTGTACATGCCATATAGCAAAAAAAATAAAATAAATACATAACTTACTTTAAACGTTGTTTGGAGTTTTTTGGTCATATTTCCACAGGGTGGCAGTGGTGAGTTTTGAGCAAAAATTGATATTGTCATACAGTTCATCAATCCAACAAAATGAAACAAAAAACTGAAAGTTCTCCCATAGTCGTCTTTGCCGTACAGTCTCCCCCCTCCTTCCTTATCTCATAAATGTCTCCATTGAATCCAATTTAAAAAAATAAAACGTGTTATCCTGTCTCCTCCTCTGTTACTTCCTCTGTTACCCTATTGCAAGAGGCTACTTCCAGAGCAGAATCAAGATCTGAACACAGTGTTGGGATATTCAGCAACCGTTGTTGTTTACTGCTACTCACAGCCTAACCGAGTCCTTCAACTCTCCATTCTGCGTGCCCTCAAGCCCCGGGTCATGCTCTTCTCACAGCTCCATTTACTTAATCACAGGCTATTTCGTCCATCTAGAAGCCCCTTCCCCTGTGCGCTTGCCTGGGAAACTCCTTAGTCCATGGTCTGGAATAGGCACTTTACAGCTGAAGCTTTCTCGACTTTCTCAGGCCAATAGCTGTCCTTTCACATGGGCTTCATACCATCTTCCCTGTTTTAACACAAACTCTTTTAGAGAACAAAGATTTTGTTCATGAAATCATTTGTGGCTACTCCTAATCATTCCCTAGTGTGTAGTATCAAATTCCTTGAATGAATAAATAACTATATTGATGTATTTGAGCTTTAGAATTCTGCACCAATTCAAACTTATGTATTTGATAAAGATACACACACACACACACATAGTGTGTGTATATATATATGTTTAGATAGATAGATAGATAGATAGATAGATAGATAGATAGATTCAAAACAGGGAGGCAGTGTATTCACCTTTCTTACTCAGAAAAATAAACTAAAATGAACGTCAGAATATTGTAAATAGAATTATTTGCTTTTATGGAAGCAGGGTAGTATAGTAGAGTACTTTTGGGGGGCAGAGGCTTTTTAATTTTATCTATTGCTAAATTTATGAAGTACTTAATGTTGTATTAATGTGCCTTTTAAAACAGTGGAGCTGGTGGTTTGGTGGTTAAGGGTGCTGGACTTCCACATGACTGACAGAGTTTCGAGTCCTGGACCTGGCAGCTTGTTTTTTACTTTCCCTTTCTGTCTGGTCAAATTAAAAAATAAAAATAACAAATAAAATTAAATAATACTTTAAAAAAATTACTAAAGCTAACAATTTGTATTGGTGATCATTTGATATGAAGCTGACAATTTTTTATTATGACTTTATTTTATTGTGAGAGGACACATGTGCTTATTAGAGAGAGACAGAGGTAGCGGGAGGAAGCACCTCCCCCCCGCCAGTGCAGTCATGCTGCCGTCTCTTCTCCATTTCTCCATCCTGTCGGAATCGTGGGCACACTCAGACACTCACCTGGCATGTTCTTTCAAGCTGCTGGGGCCAGGACTTGAGCCGAGCTGTCAGTCATGTGGGATCCTGTTCCCTCAACCACTAGGCCACAGATTGGCCTGACAATTCCCTTTCATCTGTAAACTAGCTCACCCTCTTGTTATTGAACTGATCCCACTCTGTCAGGTTTTTTTTTTCTTTTTTTTTTTCTATATCAAGGGAATCTTGATTGCTTAAGAAACACTGTCTACACCATTAATTTGGCACTTACTGTCTACAGCTTTAGGAATTACTTTTGACAGTGAACTTTGAGAGCTACCTTTATTCGTATATATAATAATTCCCCAGTTTCATCATAAGATATTTGAGAATGGTGAACATATTGAGATATTTTTGTATTTTTAAAAATAATTTCTTGTTTATAATTTAATTGTTATGTATCTTCATGGGGCATAATATGGTTTTTCAAAACATGCATGCAGTGTATAATGATCAAATCAAAATACTGTCATATTCATCATCTTCAACAAAGAACATTACACTATGTTGTGCACCTTTGTTTTTTATTTTTTTAAGAATTATTTACTTAATTTTATTTATTATTATTTAATTTTCTACAGGGCACGTGAGCTCATCAGAGAGAGACAGAGAGGCAGAGGGGAAAGTGAGAAAGCAAGCCACCAGGTCTG